GTATTTTTGTCCAACTCAGATATTATTTGCCCTATCTGGTTCCATGCCAGCATTTTTTAGTCAAAATGTTTTTTTAAATAGTTAACATTACTCAATTTAATGGTAGTAGCCCTTTTGTAATCATGACAGGTATTTTTGCTCCTGACATTTTATTATGGTGCTTGATGTTTTTTTTCGATATTACAATGGGTAAATTTGCACCTTTACCCTTGAATAAAAAATCAAATCTAAACAGAAGCTAATAATTACTCACCTTCACCACCAGCTCCCAAACATTATCCTTGTTTTTTATTGGCCACCTCAATATGCTAGGTAGCAATTGAAGAGATGATTGCCCATCTCAAACGGTTTCTTAGCGTGCTCATTCAAAGTCACACAATAATGCGGACATCCCACATGAAGTAGTCCTTCCCATTCAACCTCTCGGTGGACTTGTTCCTAGCATGATTTGCATAATTTGATTGAAAATCAAATTATATCAATAACATTTAATTACTATATATAATAAGAAAAACATTTATCACATTGACATAATTAAATAAAATCCTTACCAACAACCTCAATCTCAAAGCCAGTCGAACACCCACTAAAATAACACGGCTAATTCTACTGTTGTTGGCCCTCTATCTCCTCCTCCTCCTCGTCTCCCACCCCCAAGCCCAATACTTTGTTATCAGCATCATCATAATCTAGGAAAATTACACACAAGTCCCACAGAAGAGAATTAATTTAGATAAAGTCCCTGGAAATCCCCAAATTCTTCTTAAGTCCCCACGGACCTCTGGATAAATAATTTCAATTGTGATATTACCTACTTGTTCTTACTAATTGAAAGAGGAAAAAACAGACAGAGAGAAGCTGATTGGCTTCAGCTAGTGCACTGGTTTTCAGCATGCATGAGGAAGAGAAGCTTTTGAAAGAAGAAACAGAGGTCTGTGCTAGTGCTCCATTATTGTAGGCAAGCTATATTTTTTCTTCATCTTCTTTATAGGTCTCATCATTAACAACATTTCTCTTCTTTCGTACACAACCAGTCTCAGGTTTAATGTTGGTTTGAAAAGTTGATTGGTTGTGGGTGTGTGGGTATTAAGGATGTGATTCAACTTACTACAACTATCAAGGGAGGCTCATTTTACTCATGTGTGGTTTTAATCATCTTAGGTATGGTTTTGTTATGTGTGGCTAGGGTTATAAAGCAATGCTCTATTTTTCGGTGAATGATGCTCTATTTTTCGGTCATTGATGCTATGTTACTAATGAAAATGAATGGAAATAACATATTTCTACTGTTGTAACCCCCGTAATGTGATGGTTAAATGTCTTGTTAATGGGTACATCGAAGGTTGTTAATATAATTGTATGATATGTTATTAACGAGCGATTACGACAGGTTGATATGAAGGATGGCAACTTCAAATAGGAAGCATTTGTTTTGTTACCTCCATATAGGAGGTCAACTTATTAATGGTATGGAAGGTGAAGCGCAGTATGTTGGAGGTGGTGTGAGAACAAAAATGATAAAGGAAGGCACATCATATGAAGAATTTAGAACAATGGTAGCATCAATTGTGGGAGAAGAAAGTAATGGAATGGTTATGAAATTCAAAGTAACCTTTGATGAGTATACATCTGTGAACCTTATAGATGATGAAAGAGTGGAACATTTTATTAACTTCAATGGTGACAGTGGTCATGTATATATAGGAGAAAATGGAGATCAAAATTCACAACTAACAAGGGATGTTTCTATAGAAAAGCAACATATGTAGGTTGTATTATTTAAATTTTGAAGTAATGTTGGCTATTGTGAATTGTTGTACATAAGTTGTTATTATAGTGATCAAAGGTTGTCATTAACGGCCCCATGACCTGTCCTGTTAAGTAGGATGGAAGACTTGTTCGGAGGTTTAGATACATTCTCCATGTCTCCACCCAATATGGTTAGTGAAGACCTACTATCATTGCCATGTGGGTCAGAAATGATGCCAACCCTAATTTCGGAAATGAATTCAATAAAGTGGAAGGGTTTGATTATTGGAAAAGGATAAATTTTTCCTAACACAGTGGCCCTGAGGCAAGCACTATATAGGTACAGCATTGTTGAGAATTTTTCATACAAATTTGTGAAGAACAATTAGTAAAAGATCATTGTGAAGTGTTTGGTGGAGGGATGCCTATGGTACATGGGTGCATACTCAATGGGACAAAGACAAGAGTCTAAGTTCTTAATAATAAAAACATTAAGAAGTGAGCATGTGCATTATGCACAGGACTGGTTGGTTGTATCTCACTCTGGAAGGTCAAACTTAACATCATCAATCATAATAGATTCTTTGAGGTGTAATATATATAGGAATGCTAATGAAATTAGAAGCGATTTGTATAGAGAATATGGGGTGCGACTGTATTATAGTCAAGTATACAGGGGTAGAAAAAGAGCATTGAGGGAAATACATGGTCGTGTAAAGGATTCATACATGGTGATTCCTTGGATTTGTGAAAGGCTTATTGAAACTGATCTAAACACAATTACTTGATGGGAAGGGTTGGATAGTAACAGATTTGAAAGGGTGTTCATTGCTTATGGATGCTCAATTAATGGATTTTTAGAAGGGCATCGAAATATACTTTATATAGACGGATGTTATCTAAGTGATCCTTATAGGGGGACATTGATTTCAGCTAATGCATACAATGCGGATAATGAACTGTTTCCATTAGCACATGCTATAGTCAGTGGGGAGACATATGATGATTGGGCTTGGTTTCTCCAAAATGTCAAAGACATCACAAGATCAGTAGAGACAATGATAGTTTTAGATCAGAATAATGCCATTATAGGTGCTGTGCGGACAGTACTTGGTGGCAAGAGACATGCTTTTTGCTACAGGTATGTGAAAGAAAATTTTAGTGCATATTACTTAAAAATTAACCGAGACAGGGGACGAGTTTCAAGTACTTCAAAGGAGGTCGCATTGAAAATGCTGGATGGAATCGCCTACACAAGAATTGAGGATGAATATGTTGCTGTAATGGGGAAACTTAGATCATTTTTGTCCACAATTAGCTGATTGGGTTGAGACTCAAGGAGATAGAGATTAATGGGCTTTAAGAAAATTTTTGTTTAAATGATGGGATAACATCATCACTAATGTTACGGAGTCGTTTAATACTTAGATTTTGAAGGAGAGGAAACATAATGTGTCAGTTCTCATACATAAGCATATAGAGAAATTAGCGAAGAAGATGGTTGCAAGCAAAATAGCAATGGGAAATTAGACAAATGGCATTGGGCTAAATATTGAGTCCAAGTTGCAAAAAAAAGTAGCAAGAGCGGAGAATATGCATATTATGTATTATGGAGATAACCGAGTTTAAGTTCACACTACATCTCTTGCTAGAATAATTTGTGTCACTGTTGAACTCACGACACACAATTGCACTTGTTTAGCATGGAAAATGAGCGGAGTACCTTATGTTCATGCATATGCAGCGATAAAGCTACTTCATAGTAGTGTCTATGAATTTATAGATGATTGCTATAAATTGTCGGCCTAAGAGAAGATATAGAAAGTAGTATGAGGCCAACTATGACACATGATTGTTCACATCAAGAAGCTCTCATGGTTATGCAGATGATGACAAGAACATTTTAACAGCCACCAATCACTAAAAGACCCTCAGGGAGGCCAAAGAAAAGAAGGATTGAATCTCAATTTCAAAACAAAAAACTTTATCATTATAAAAGATGCCATGAGCCAGGCCATACTGTAAAAACTTGCCAAAACTCCAATCCAAGTTGAGCTTTATTAGTGGCTTGTTTATATTTCTTTTTGTGAATACTTGTGACAAAATTGTTTTGTAAATATCCTAACCTCCACCTCAACTTGTTCGTCATTATCCACACATACAACCTGTATGCTTTTTTGAATGGGTTGTAAATTTGGTGTAGTTATATTATACATATATATATATATATAGCAAGTGGTAAATGACATCTGGTTGTAATCTGGTATAAGATCATATATGTATTTTGATGTGGTTGTGAATATGTCATAATGGACTTGTTACCAGACTTCATAGAGGCTATCATTGGTAGTCTGAATTATGTTACTAATATAAAGTGACTATTTTTCCTACTTGTAGTGTTCAATGATTGCTTAACATATCCAAGTTGTGTTAAAGTTGTAACATGATATGAGTTGGTGATAATTTGATGTTATGTGGAGGTGGTGATATCACATAGCATGAGTTGTCAAGGGTATTGTGAAGGTTATTAACCACTTTTGTTCGGGTTGTCACTACTCGCCGTTGAGGTTGTAAATGGACTAATGCAGTAAAAATCTGGTATAATCGCATTGTCAACATTAAAGCTGTTAATGACTTCAAAATGCTCCCAATTTTTTTTTGTTAAGGTCGTTTTATGTGCTGATAATACAATCTATTTAAAAGCTGTGGTATCCCATAGAGTGAGTTGTCAGGGGCATTGTCCTGGTTGTAAACTAGCTGTGTTAGGGTTGCCAATAACCCCCATTGAGGTTGTAAATGAACTGATGCAGTAAAAATCTGCTGTCATCATATTTGGTTCAATTAAAGCTGTAAATGACTTCAAAATTCAGTTAGGAGCTATGGTATCCCACAGAGTGAGTTGTCAGGGGCATTGTCAAGGTTGTGTTAACCACCTCTGTTTGGGTTGTCAACAACCCTCATTGAGGTTGTAAATGGATGTGGCAGAGAGGATTGTGATATATGCATATCATGTCATCATGGTTACCATTTATTTATCCAGTTTTATTTAGTCTGCATTTCTAGACATAATCAAAACACATGAATGCCATTACAAAAACTTCATAACCATTATCCTTGGTTGTGCATATTCGAAATAATTCCTCTTTCTCATCAAGTTTTCTCTTGCCATGGGTTTTTTTCACCTCCTCTAACTAGGGAGATTTGATTGCACGGCTTCTCACCCGTGTTGATCTTCTTACTTCCATTTATCCTTATGCTTCCTTATTCATTTCATCCTTTCCCTCCTCATTATCGCCTAAACCTTTATCCTCTTCTGCTGCTGCATCACTAGACTTGTCTTTAGTTTTTTCTTCCTCGTCATCCCCTAATTTAGAGTCTCTCCCTTCTCTTTTCTCTTCAGGTTGATATTGACTCTTTTTTTCATACAGAGCACTTTTGTCCTCTTCTTTATCATCTTTCTTTAGTTCGCTTTCTTCTCTTTTCTCTTTATCTTGAGATTTACTTTCTTCTTTATGCGGAGCACGTTTTTCCTCTTCTTTGTCATCTTTTTCTGGTTCACTTTATTCTTCCTCTTGTGACAGAATTGAATCTTTTAGGCTTTGTAATATCCTAAAATTTTATGTTAGGATTTAATTTTTTTAAAAAAAATTAATTAATCAAAAAATAAATAATAAGTAAATTAAACAAATAATATTATATTATATTATTGTAAAATAATAATATTTTATTTTAATTTTTGAAGGAAAAAAAAATGAAGGACACTTTTTCCATCGAATTCGGTGGAAAAGTTGGGAACATTTAATGTGAGGAAGACATTTGGGAACGAAGGATTAAATGAATGAAGAAAAAATTGGCATATGGATAGATTGAAGACGGAATGAGATAGAATAAAAAGAGAATGAGAGGAAAGGAAGGAAAAAGAAAAGGGAGAGTAAGAGAAAGAGTGTGGGAGAGAGAGCAAGGAGCGGATCAGTGATCATTGTAAAGAAAAGGGCAAACTTTGAAGATATTTTAGGTACATAAAATTACTTCTTTCCATCAAACTTTCTTTATAAATATTTCCTATATATTTTAAGCTTTCTAATGATAATATTATTATAGTAATCAGAGAAAATTTTGAGACTTATGTATGGGATAAGTTTTGGATTTTGATGAATGTTAACCACAGTATTACAGATCTATTATAGTAGATCATTTCTACTGATTTAGATTTACCCATTTGTTATTTTTTAGTATTTAAATTAATTTATTTAGTTAAAAAGTCTGTTATATATAAGATATATTATATTTGTACCTATCAAAATTATGTTAAATAATTTATTTGGGTTGTTTGACATATTATTAAGATTTTAATCGGTTTAGTTTTATTTATTGGATGACTGGAGGTTTTAAAATAATTATTTTAGCTAAAAGAATTTATTATTTGTGAAGAAAAAGAAAATTTGATAGTTATACTATTAGAATTTTGAGTAGATTATTTATTTATAAATATTTGAGGTATTATTAAATTTTGATGGTTTGATTGAGGTTTAAACTTTAAATGAGATTTTTAGAATTTAAAATATAACAATTTCATATTTGAAAATTTTAGAAAATTCTTTTTATTAAAGTAAATAATCCAGAGGATGAAACTGGATATTTTTAGCCTGTTAGGAAAGTTTATAAGTTAGTTCTAAAGTACTTAATTTTGGGTTATGAGAGTTGGGGGAATTTAGAATACAAATTAAATTACATTAAAATAGAGATTTAGCTAATATATATATAAGCTTAATTAATTATCTTATATTAATATGTGGTCATATTAATTGTGTAGATTAATTATTGGATTATTGGTTTGAGCACATGATTGCCTTTGTAGTAATTCGTTTTATAGCCTTGGTGAAAGGTAACCACTTTCCACTTGTTATGTATACTTGTATGATGTTTGTGAGTAATTTCGAATTATATGAGATTCTTGAAATGACATTGAATTATTATTTGAGCAATAAAAGGCATCATTGTTGAAATTGTCTTGAGATACTTTATGTTATTGAAAAATAGTATGAAATTATGAATTTATAAATTTGTCATGTGGAACAAGAATTTATTGAGAAATGGTTTGAGAATTGATGTGATTATTGAAATTTTGAAATCTCGATTTTGGTAAATCTGAAAGTTATTATGTTATTAGTAAATAACTGTTCTCATGAGTGTAAATACAAGAGGGGATGGTGAACGTTGATTGGTGGGAGACATGTTATAGGGAGAATAAGGGGGTGAATTTTGTACATATTCTAGAGGTAATAAGGTGGGAGGACGCCAGATGTACACTGGTTGATCCTTTGGCCCTGTCATGTGTTGTGTAGGGCATATGACACCCCTCTAGTGGACTAGAGGGGGAACCCATGGTCCGATCTTGTGCTCTGTGGATTTTGGCCTGTTCACATCACTTGATCGGTGAGCTTATTATGTTGAACTACCAGTCACATGGGACAGTACTAGCCCATGGGTTCAGTCAGAGGAAATAAGGTGGAATTGAGAGTGAGATATTGTATTTTCATATGTGTATATATATAACCATGTGACAATTGCGAATGTTATGATTTAGTAACTATTCCACTTGATACCTCTCAAGCACTTACTTGTATGCTTGATGAGTAGGATTGTTGGTTATTGAGGCTTTTGCCTCACCCCGTGCTTTAACATTTTCAGATAATAGCTCTAGGGCTGGTCCGTCAGGGAAGGCAGTGGAGGCTTAGCTATCAAGTTTAGCTTATATAGCCTCCGTTTTGTCATGTGATAAGTATTGTATATTGCCACATATAGCTCTTTTTGCATACTCTGAATTATTTGAGACTTACGGTCTTAGTTACTTTTGTTGCTGGATTGCTTGGGTCTGTAAGTTGTGAACCCACAATGACTTTTGAAAGTAATTGATTACTGTCGGTTTGGACAAATTTTAGTCTAAAATATCATGTTATGGGCTTAGAAATGAATTGTGATGTGTTGGGCTTTGTAAAGCCCAAGGCCCAATTATTGTGAAATATTATTAATTACGATTTTCATACAATTTGCTTAGTAAAACTCTTATAATCATGATAGACATTTTGAATAATTAGTTCTAGTCTTTTCTATCATGATCAACATTTTTGGCAAATCACATTTCTTTTTATAACCATGGTAGCCGTTTCAAATATTATACTAAGACTCTTTTCTACTATGCTTAGTATTATTAAATTGGAGTTTAAAAAAAAAAGTTAGTAACAGGTTGGAGATAACCGATGTTACAAGCTTCCTTTACCTTCTCCACCCTTTTCTTCATCTTCAATTGCATTCTCTTTATCATCTTTACTACTTACTACTTCTACCACATCTTCCTTCTCATTGTCATCTGTTAATCTCAACTGCAGGGAAACCAACTCTTCTCCAATTGTTGACACCAACCCTTCAACCATGGTCACCAACCTTTCATACATTCTCTTTATTTCTTGCAAAATAACAGTAATGAAAGTAATCATTACTCCGAATTGTACACAGCACCAAAATAAGCTACACATGATTTACTTACAGGGTGGGTCAGATGTATTTCTGTATTGGATGTACTAGATAAAGCCCCATTGACGTTCGTAACGCCATGTAGTATGCCTCTGTCACTATTCTTTTTTGATTTGGCTTTTTCCTTTACTTTTTCCTCATCCCAATAGCTAATGGCATGCTTATTTTTTGCGGCCTTTTTTCCCCCAAAGGAAAGTGTTGTAGGCAATGAATTTACATATCAGGTAAATGGTAACTTAGCTATACAACAATAACAACATGCAGGGAGACTATTGACAACATAAACAGTGGCCAATCACAACCTGCACAGCAGCCAATCACAACATACAGAGTGGCCAATCACAACTTATACATAACACAATCACAACCTGCATCTGTGCCATTCACAACATGCACAGTAGCCAATGGCAACTCACGCTAAACCGAATGACAACATGAGCAGCAGACAATTACAACCTATACATAAGCAGGTGACAAACCAACAGAGGCCAATGACCTGAGCATTAACTAATGACAACCCATGCTAAACTGAATGACAACATGCACAGCATGCAGTCACAACCTACACATCAGGCAATCACAACCTATGTTTGTGCCATTCACAACATGCATAACAGCCAATGGCAACCCACGCTAAACCGAATGACAACAAGAATAGCAAGCAATTACAACTTATATAGAAGCAAATAACAAGCCAACAAAGGCTAGTGACAACCTGGACACAGGATAATAACAACCTTTACACCAACCAATCACAACATACACATAAGCAGTTGACAGCGTACATACCAGCAAATGACAACATAGAGTAGTAAATGACAACATAGAGAGCAACCAATTACAACATACATACCACATTGAGAATACAACTGACGTCAAAGTAAATGAATCATACCTTTACTTACCATTAAGAAGTACAAGCTACCTCCCACATTTTTCATCCCATCAGCTTTTCCTTTCTTGAATTATGCAATTGAGTTGCAGAATTCTCTGAAAACAAAGCTGCTCCATAGTGTCCTAAACTATCATTTGTCGCTACCATGACCTTCAACGCTTTATCACTCACCCATACCCTAGAGCCAGGACACAAGAGGACTCCTAATGCATACATAACAAAAAGGAATTCAAACTTTTCATCCTCTTTTCCTTCAATAAACCATCTTCCCATTGTTTTGTATGGCACTTTCCCATAGTCACTTCTTAATTCCTTAAATGTTACCTCTTCGTTCTCAGCATTCATTTTAATTTCTTGCCCCTTAAATGGTAGGCCTATTAATTGATTTACATCTCCGAGCCCTATTTCATGCGTCTTGCCTCGAATTGATATTTTCTTACTTACAGGGTTAAACACACGGATCAATTCACCACAAAAATCTCTATCGATTTGTGAGCAGCATATTTATCAAAACTAATCCTTTTCAACCTTTCTATCTTATCTGTCCTTTTCTTTAAGTGCTTGCAAACTTCCATAAATTGTCCTGGATCACACCGTGTGTGGAAGGGAACAATATAATTCTTCCCTTTCAGTGGGACTCTTATTTCTTTAGCCTTTTCACTATATTGTTCTCTTTCCTGTTTTGTTAACTTCCCCCAAGCCTTTTTCATAGAGTTACTACTCTCTTCAAAAGACTTGAACTTCTTCTTGTTCTTCTCATAAAATTCTTTAGTAAATAGTATATATCTAGAGAAGTTCCTAAGCCTTTGTCCATCTTTGGTCTTACTTTTTTTAGCCATTTTGTTAAACTGCAAAATAGGAAAAAAAATTACTGTCATTATATTGTTAAATTGCAAAATGAAAACAAAAAAATTTTGCTTTGATAGTAAATCTACAAAAGATATAAATAAAAAAGAGCAAAGTCAAAAACTAAAAAACAAAGAAAACTAAGGCTACTTACAAATTTTTGAGATTATACAGTTTCCTAATTGATGGAGGTATATTCCCACTAAGGGAGTTACTTGATATATCCCTAGAAAATACAAGAATATGATGAATGAATGCGATTTGTCCATCCTTATAACAACATAAATTGGATGAAATGAACCAGAAACTATACTAAAATATTGCACTCACAAACTTCTAAGCTATGATAGGTTTCCTAGTTTATTTGGAATTGCTCCACTTAGGTAATTGCCTTGCAAGAATCTGCACAAGAAAGATTCAAATTATTCTCCAGAGGACTTAGTCAGAACCAATGCAAAAACCTAATATTTCCTATTACCAACTTGATTTCGAAGAAGTCAACCTCTATAGAAGGCCAATAGAAAAAATACTATAGCAAATGTCGGTGTGAAATCAATATATCAACATATCGATGTAAAATCTCTATCAAGCTGCACTAATCAAAAGTCATGAATAACATGGCTCATCGCTCATATTTTGTGTATTGTATAGGAAAACATGTTTAGCTATATCATTAAAGACTGCATGCTTAGTTATGATGTTAAATCACTTTATCATAATTGCTATGGGAATTGTCCCATAGAAATTGTTGTTGTGAAGGGCCCTATAGCACACACAGATTATGATTAAATCAGATCCAATAGGCAAGCAATAAAGCAACAGAATCAAATGTCCCGGAAAAATTATACATAATCAAAAGTACATACAGAGTAGTCAAATGCTCTAGCCCCCTAGGTTAGGTGGTATACATCTACTCAAGTAGTGGCGAGATACGGGGGTGGAATACACATCCGTTTCAGGATGACATTATTGAGACACGATCCATTATCTTCTCTAATTGGGACTTAGAAATACTTCATTCATATAGAGAGATGCTAATCTGTGCAGACTACTTAGAAAGAAATGCTCATCACGTTTTTATGGAGGTGTACTAGATTCAACATCCTCCAAGTTTTTGTGTACAACAGATGCAACATGATTTTGCGAAAAGCCATAAGGTGCCTTTAGTTTAGTTTCTGTTAAGGCTCTATTTTGTATCTACAAGCTGAGGCTTGCCGTTTGTACTAAAAAAAAAACTTATGGCAAGCTAAATTCTAGAATATCACCAATGAAAGTAAAGTTACATATAAGATTAAGAAAAATTTGTCTGCCATAACGTACCTCAAATTTGAGAATCATTTACTAATATAACATAAACTTAGCAACTGCTGCTTTGAAACTGAGAAGCGCCTCACCTAAGTATGCCAGTAATAGATAAAATCAATATGATATACCAAGAGAGAAAGGCTCGTTGATGGGATGATAGAACCCATGATGCTCATTGGCAGTGGGGTGCGAAGGTCATCGATGATGGTGTGCGAAGCTCGCCAACGGTGTAAGTAAAGCTCACCGCCGATGGATGTGAAGCCGCTTGTGCTGTAACGAAAAGCTGGAACTGCAAAGAAGGTGGTCCCGAGGGTTTAAGACAGGAAAATTATTCACACTTAAATTACCAGGAGTATGTAGGTAATATCACAATTGAGATTATTTATCCAGAGGTCCCTGGGGACTTGGAAGAAATTTAAAAAATTGCATAAATATAAAAAGTTTAAATAAAAATATATAGTTGAATGTGAAGTGCTGGATCTGGAGTTGGATCTGAATTCAGGACAAAAAATTGGCAGAGTTTTGCTACTCAAACAATCCAAAAGTGGCAAAATAAGGGGGCAACATTTATATAAGCTTAACCTTGTAGCAGTTGTCTAGAAAACCACTACAAAATGTCTTCTTTTATAGCAATTGTCTCCAAAACTACTATGAGACACATGTTAATTTTCCATGAAAGAATATGAAAGCGTTATAGTGGTTTAGGAGACAATTGCTATAAATATAGTTGCCATTGATGTCATCGCTAAAAACCTTTATAACAGTTTCATCAAACAGCTGCAAAGTCAATGACTCCCAAAATTTATAGCATTTTTTATCCTATAACTATCACAAATTTCATGCTACAAACTTAAAGTCAACTTTGCAGTGGTTTATCGCTACAAAAATCCATCTCAAACTTATGCATAGTCCTAAATATATTAGCACACAATGTCATTCACTCATTAGAACCATGATTACAATCAACATCAACACTTTACTCTCTTTAAGCCATATTGACTTCTAATTTTTGAACTTGAGTTTTAATCCTTCCAAAATTTAATTTCACATGCTATTCCCTTATAATTTTGCATGTAGAATCCATTTCTAAGCTCAAAATTATTTAAATTTAATTCCTTTCCCTTTAACTCAATCGAGACATATAGGGTTTAAGATTTAAAATTCTATTTTCAATTTCAATGCTTCTAAACTTACTTTTTTACCTTTATCCCACATAATTTTTCATTCTAAAAATATTAGAAGCATCAAACTCATCAAAATCTTACCCTATCAAGAAGCCTAAGTCTGGCCAAAAGTATGCAAGGTTAAGGAAAAGTTATATTTGTTCCAATTTCATCACAAAACCACTTGAATGTAAAAAAAACTAAAGGTAGTAAACTCTACCTTACTCCTATATACTTAGTATTTGCTTGCATGTATGACATATTTGTATGTGTCACATCCCAAGAAATTTCATCTAGACATAGGGAATTAAAAATTGGGATGAGGGCCAATGTAAAAACTAGACGGGGAGACGAAATAACTTTTGAGATGAAACCTCGATGAGGTCCGAGTTGGCATTTTCTTAATTATCGGTCTAGGAAGGGCAAAAGGGAAAAACTTGAGAAAAATTCTAGAAAATTCTTGAAAAATGAGAAAAGTGTAAGGTGGAGGTTTTGGAAACTTGGTTGAGGCTCGGAAGGTGGAATTATGGTGAAAATAAATTGTTACAGAATTTCTCATATTGGGAAATCAGAGAAAAATAATTACTTTAATAACTTAGAGGCCTCAATAAATTTGAAAAAAAGATGGATAAATCATCTAAATTGTTACGGAATTTCCCATATTGTGAAATCAAAGAAAAATAATTATTTT